GCTTTATTACTCTGCTTTATTATTCCGCTTTATTATTCTGTTATATTACCTGTGTTAACTCGAAATCAAACTAAAGTCTTCGTTTTTGTCATCTGAAATCTTTTCTTTTATTGGACTCTTATTTAACTTCTGATCCAATCCCTGTGGACGATATTCCGGTACTTGTACCACTTTATTACTTGGAAAGACGACGTTGGGCCGTATTGTATACTTGCTTTGTGGCCTAATTTCATTAGTCTGAAGGTGTGAAATATAACCGACCAGTATTCTCGATTTAGTACTCAAAATTCTGAAGTCTGATTCTTATGGATACAATCTCCATATTACTACCCTTTGTTACTCGCAACGATCATAGTGTCTGGTCTGCAGGGGCAAATCTATGTATGTCCGAGCAGGCTCACATGCACTCGCTGAACTTATTTTCACAAGTAGGATTTCTTTTGAGGTATGAAAGGTGCACCCGCTAAGCTTTGAGGTGTGCTTTGAGATATTAGAAAATATAAGAAATATCAACCAAAAATTTGAAAAAGTACCTTGAAATCAACCAAAAACTAAAGAAAGTACATCGAAATCAACCAAAAAACTTAAAAAATCCGTCAAAACGGTGAAATACGGAGACTTAGGGCTTTTGATCTACCTTGAAAATGCACATGCTTGGCAAAAATCTTGGGTCCGCCACTGCTAGTAGGGGTGCTCATGGATTAGGTTGAAGACATTTGAACAACCCAACCCAATGCTTGCGGTTTGGAAAAATCTTAACCCAATCCAACCCAAACCAAAGTGCAAACCAACCCAACCCGTACAAGTTGGTTGGGTTGGTCGGGTTGATACTTTGCTATATTAAAATATTATTCTAACCTTGAATATGTTATTTCTCTACTCATAATTTCTTTTTCATCATCAACCATTTGATACAACTTATCCATATTTCTTATATATATCACATTTAGTTAATTTTCTCAATTTACATATATATGTGCACCGTTACTGAACATATATATGAATGAGTTATATAAAAATATGAATAGATTGAAAATATGTGTATATGAAAAACGTACATGATAGTGTCATTGTCTAATGTATATAATAATAGAAATTCAACAATCATATTAAATTCAAGAAATAAAATGATATCGGGTTCATCGGGTTGAGTTGTGTTCAAATAATATCAACCCAATACCTATGGTTTGGCAATTTTACAACTCGATTAGACATCGGGTTGCTTCGGATTAGGTTACTTTACATTGGGTTGGGTTGATCGGGTGATCGGTTTAGTCGGGTTTTTGAACACCCCTAACTGCTAGTATGCACTTTGCACCACCATTATGACAACACTATGGCCTCTTATGTGGACCTATACGAATTTTCCGCTACCACAACCGTATGTATATACATGTATATTTGATCACTTCACTTTGTTTTGATTTCATTTCACAAATCGTAAACCAAAACTAACCGAAACCTAACAACAATGCCGAGAACTTTTCAGTTGGTTCCGTTCCATGGTGTTTAGTTTGTTTATGGGCCAATCTAATTGTTTTAAAAATGTTAATACAGGGACCAAATGTGATAATTTTGAGCAAATACTTGGAAAAAGTTGGTAATCCGGGACATAAGCAAATTCATCCTTGAGATGCTTCGTAAATGTCACGTTCAGGTTTGCATTTGTTATAGAAACCAAGACCACAAATCCAAGTGAAGAGAGCGATCAGTGACTGGTCACTCTCATTCGATTTGATCTGTCCACAGTGAACCCAACGCCGCCGGCGATTTCTGCAGCTTCCTCCGGCGACGAAGACCTTGTCATTGACCACCATATTCATAGTCGCCGCCGCCGCCGCCGTCTGTCCGTCACCAGTGGAAATGTATGTTCATTCACACTATTTTCAGTACTATTATTATCTCAATTTTCTAGATATGCATTAGATCAGGTGATATTTGAATTCGACCTAAATGTTGATCTTTATTTTACTTGTAGATCTCTTGATTCAAAGCTCACTTTTCTGTATTGTACTACCACAATTCAGCTAGGAGAGGATCTTTTGACGATTTATAGTCTTCTTTTGATTTCTATCATCTCTGTCACTTTATTAATAAGTTGGGTTCCCATTCTTTTTCCTTTTTCTTTTGGGTATTATGCTTTAGGTAATCTTGAGAATCATGTGGTTGTAATTCTCTCTTTCGTTGAGAAGGGCGATAATTGACTGCCCATGGTGTTAATTGGGACATGCAACACCCTTGCAATGCTTCTTCTACAAGTTGTATTGTGTGTTCTTCCAGTTTGGATACACAAATACAGTTTTCTATAAATCATGATTGTTGAAAAGGAATTTTTTTCACTATATTCCGTCACCTTCATGTTTAGATATTATCCCATAAAGACACTTTAGCAGTATAATTTTATGGTCTAGGTCGGTTAGGCAATCACCTAAAAATTACTCTCTCCGATCCCAAAATAAGTGCTTTATCCACAATAGAAATCACACATAATTTTAAACATTAATAATTAGTACATTTTTTAGTTTACCTTTAATTAATGCATCTATCTTACCAACTCTTGAATATTTGTGCATTAATTAATGGTAGATTTGGAAATTTAGTTATTTCTTTTGAAGTGGACGTTTATTTTGGGACAAACATAATGTGGACACTTATTTTCGGACGGAAGGAGTACTAAAAATCTATCAATGTATAACTTTCAGATGCTAATTGAGCATGCCAAGGCATTTTCAGAAGTTCACTGGTAATTTAGTTATCATGTTTCTCGGGACATAGCTTGACATTGGTTTTAGCTATGCCACAGGTTAATTTGACATTACATGTTATTGTGTTAGAATTGAGAACCAGTCTATTTGGATAAAGTGGGCAGACTTATTTTCGATTTTAGAAGGACAAGAACTGGTGCATCTTATGACTTGACATTACATGAGTGATGACTCTACACTTGTATAACTTATTTGGAAGACTGACTTCATCTGGAATCTGTCCATCCATCTCAGAACTGTCAAGCTTTGCTCCAGCATTTAAGAAAGAAATGAAAGAGAAGGGTAGATCATATAAGGCATTTGGATAGATGCATAAGTGGATGGAGATGATAACCTAGCGATCAATGCCTTTCATGTTTCTGTCTCTGGTGTGTGAAGACTGGAGAGAGATACAAATAGAGATAGAGATAGATTGATAGAGAGAGAGAGACATACAGACCGACTGAAATCTCATTCTCCTTACTTATCCATTTAGTAACCCATTGCTTGATGAAAGCAAACACTCATTTGACTGTTTAATTAGCCACCTATTTACTGCCAGGCTTGATGCCATATTCTTATAGCTTCATATATAGAAAAGAAATCAACTATGTTTAAACCCCATACCCCTTATAGTATTGTATAATTTATAGCAGTTATCTTAGGGCTCATAGTCCTGTCATCGCCCTTTATTATCAGGCTTCTGGGTGATAACAAACTGGAAATGGGATGGATGAAAATTATAACTTGTACCTAAAGATGAATTTGCATGATTAAAATTTTATACTCCTTACTGTGGTTGTCTTCTTCTTATGCCTTTATTTTATGCATGGGTATGAATAAAATAATATCTGTAAAATTTCTAATTCTTTGCTGATTGTTGGAACCAAGTAAATCACTTTAAGCTCCTTAAACATATTTCTTGATGTGTATAAATTAAGTAAATATATAAGAAGATATGAACTGACAAGCGAAACATTTTTTATTGCAGATGTTCTGATCCTGGTTGTTGAGGTGCAAGGTGCCTCCTAGGTGCATAGGTACCCCTGGGTCTACAAGAATGGTGTATGCCCTTCAAACCAAAGTAAAGATTGCATAGAAGACATTAATGAGATGTATTTCAATTATTAACATCAATTTATGGACATGATGGAAGTTCAATAAGTTGTTAATTTCTTTTAACATATATATCGGTTCTCAAAATTAATCAATTTCTCTAGCATATAGAAAGTATTCATGTTATAAGTAGCAATATATATTAGAGAGTTATCTGTTTGCTTGAGCATAATTAAGTATAACAAAAAGAAGAAAAAACAATATAACGCAAGATGAAAAGTAATTGATAGAGGCTTATATGCTAATTTTTCTACTGGCCTTTTACTATAAACCATGCTCAAACTCTTCCCAAGGTTTTGTTTTCTAAATTATGATTGGAATGCACATGCTATAAATTGAAATTAAAGTGTTAGACCATCAAGGCAGAAACACGAAATGGGTAATTTATGTAAAATAGTTTAACAGAACATCTCTCTGTAGAAATGATTATTGAGCATGCTTTGCAAGTTGCCTAAACCTGTAAGAAACATCTAAAGCATATGCTTCTCTTAAAAGGCCTTTAACTTTTGACAGCTAATGTTATTTCATCTGCCTTCAGAACTGGTCTTTTCTTTGCTTTTATTTGGCTGTTTTGTTACTTCAATTAACCTACACATTGATCTACTCGTTGGTCTGGACCTTGTGATATTCAAAAACTAAACGAGATCTCCCATTAAACCAAATACAATATTAGGGTCATATCAAATGAGGGTAGATTGGTAATTTTTTAGTTTTTCCCATCCTTGTCCCGTCTTGTTTTCCACCTATTTTGGTGGAACCAAAAAGGCCTTTCTTGTCCCATCTAGTCCCACCCAGTCCCTGTCCCGTTGTCGAGCCAAAAGTGAGGCATTGAGTTTTTGTCTTGTCCCATGTCGCACTAAACATGGAACAATGAGTTTTGTCCTGACCTGTCCTCCAAGTGGTATGTGTATAAATCTCTTCTCTTGTATTTGTTCTTTTCCTTCTTGTTGTCACTTCTAGACGATCTCAGGCTTTCTCAGTGGCTGATTCAGTGCTCCACTTGGTCTGTTTATGGAAATGAATGTAATGTTTATATTAACAGAATTAAAAAATGCATGTGACACCCACCTTGGTTTTCTTTTATTTCAATACCACCATGAGTTAGCCTTTTGAAATATTAGTTGTATATTGGTACTGTCCATTTCAGTGTCTGTAATATTGGTTGTCATCCTGGAATCCCTTCAACCAGGCGGTATTTCTTTGATTATTCCTTGATTGTAAAGATAGAGAGTAGTAACATCTGCAGTAAATTGTTTTGCCATGAATTAAGAAATGACAAGTTCCATTTCAGAGTTTTGGATGTAGTCGCCATTAATCTTCTCCACTTATAAGGATTCAGCAAATCTCAGTTCATGGTATGACTATAATTACATGTTGTCACCCTTGAGCAACATAAGAGCAATTTGACAAATGCTAAATAAAAAATACTAATTGTATACATATTTGTCTGTTTGTACAAGTTTCATTCTTGTCTGAGTGAATAGTTCTCTTTGTTGTTGAGGTAATATGACAATCAAATTTCGATGATTAGATTCTTTGTATTGTGTCTTTCAGATGCGGACGTGATGGGGATGGAGTTCATGATTGGAAGAAAAACACCTTTCCTGTTTAATGCTTTTGTTTCACAAGTTGTAAATAAAATCAGACATTTTCTAGTATCACCATACTTGTGATGCCTGGTCTTCACACTAAATGAAGACAGCTAGAGGATGGCGTGTAGGCATAAAAGACTTCCTAATGATGTCTGGTACTCGGCAACGACCACATTTGAAAGGGCCAAACTGGGTTATTGTATTAGTGTGTTTGGTCAGCATTTTTCTGATTGGAGTCTATATATATCCGCCTAGGAACTCTGCAGCCTGCTATATCTTTTTCTCCGATAGCTGTTCTGAGCATGAAACCGCTCCAGCCATTCCTTCCAGAGAATTAACCGATGAAGAGAATGCAGCGCAGGTGGTGATCACAGAAATTTTGAAGTCATCTCCTATTACCTCAAAGAACCCGAAAATTGCTTTTATGTTCCTGACTCCTGGTCCATTACCGTTTGAAATGCTCTGGGACAAGTTCTTTCAAGTGAGCTTCTGCTTTTCAGCAATCAATACTTGGCTGCTATATGTTTGAATGCCATCTTTCTTTTTCATGGTTTTCGATTTTCTTATTACTGTAGCTATTATCTGCTTATATGATGATCCTCTGTGTCAAAAGATCTATAATTATATTGTGTTCCCTCAATATTGAAATTTTTATTCAAATAATTTATGGAAGGAGTATATTTGTGGTTCTCTTTATGTTGCATAAACTTGAACTTTGAGGCTCAATAGCTAAATACATGACAATTGAATCACCTACAATGTTCAATTTTGTTGTAATTAATGCTGGCTTTATATCGTGCCTAATTATATGCTACCACTTAATCTTCTTGATTTATGCTATGAGGATGATATTTAGGCTTCTTTTGTAACTTATGAGGCTATGAAATATGTCCTAACTTGCTTTCAGACTAAGATCATGCTTCTTTTTCAAGGTAGTAGAGAGGACTTTTAAGGTGTTGCTTCTCTTCCTTCATGAGATCTAGTTAAAATGATCGTCAACTGTTCCTTGATCAAAATTAAGTTCACACATCGTTGCATTATGAAATCTCAGAATCGTGGGAGATTGTGTCTATGTTACAATCATAGTACATCTCTGACAAATGACATACCAAACTCTTGACCCTGATGGCAAATGCAAGTCAACTCTAGCGACCAATAATGTCTAGCTTCATGATTTTCCATATTTGTGAAATACACTGCAATCGAATCTAGGCATCATGATTTTTTGTCTTATCTTGAATATCTCGGTGATCGAATCTGTCACTTAGATCCATTCAGATATCAAATGCAGTTTCGGCGAACATTCACACTTGCTGATATCTCCTGTGAAATCCAACAAATTCTCCAAAATGGAGGATTAAAATTTAAAATCTCCAAAAGAATTACATTCAACTCCAACAACTTCTCTGTTTTGGAGATTATAGCATTGATTTCTCCCTCTTGGTAATTTTTCGGGAGTTGTGTAAATCTGGAGAATGTCATATCTCATTCTCCATTTTGGAGAAAGGTTTTGGAGCAAAAAAACTTGCCCAAAACCCCAAAAATCTCCATTTTCTCTATTTTGGAGAATCTGTTGGACATGCACTTCTGTTACGCATCCACACATTAACCATTGCCAGATCACTGTCATCTGTCTGCTCAGAGTTCCACCCATAAATCTAGTTTTGTTCTTACGATTCACATCACTCCTACTCCAGGAGGAATAATTCTCTACCGTTAAGATTTGCGAAACAAGAACAATCCAGGATTACTAGAGAAGGATGTAATGGATCATGAAAGGCTGATTCATCCTTTTGATGAGTTGTTTTGGTCTGGCATATTGAAGAGAGGAAGAGAATACAAAAAAGGATAGAGAATTGGTAAAAATGGATTTCTGTATATTCATCTGATTGCTACACTCCCTATTTAGATGATACAACTACCAACTACTACTAATTACTAACAGCCATCTACTAACAACCATTAATCAAATCCACCTAACAAAACTAACTTAACATAAATAGACAAAAGTACGCTCCATTTGTAATAGTTTCTCCATGGAATCTATATTCCTCCAGTCTTAATACCACACCAAGTGATTGACCTGCTGCTCATAGAGCATCTAATATGACTACACCATGTAGTCCAACTATCTCTGTGATTTGTATAAAGGAGTACTCAATTAGGAGCACTATTGAGATACTACGACTAACAACATCCTTATCACTATTGTGAAGGAAGACCGGAGATCTCTAGCTTATGGAAAAGCAATGTGTAACTTGGTGCCGGTGGGAACTTATCTTTCCCAAAAATAGAC